GGGGGGGCGCTGGTCGGGCCATGGAGCTCAGCGGCCTAGTGCATGCCCTGAGGGCGGAGGGGCCGCGGGCCGGGGAGCAGCCGCCGCTCCGCGCTGTCCCGCCGGCCGAGCAGATCCTGCCCCGGATCGGGCTGCTCGTCTCCGAGGGGGCCGCTCCCGAGGTGGTCAGAGACCTGGGTGCGCTCGTCGAGGCTGCGGGGTGCCGGTGGCTTTTTGGAGGCCTGAGCCCTGCAACGCTGGGCGAGTTGGTGGCTGCGCTGAATGGGTACGCGGCACCCCCGAAGCAGGAGCAAGATGCTGCGGGTCTCCCTCGTGAGGACAGGGCGTACGCTGCCGCAGCTGAGCGAGCGGCAGAGGCCGGCTCAGTGTTCCTACACCTCCTGGCAAAGCTAGAAGCCGCCAAGACCCAGGAGTCTCTGGGCGTCCCCGTGGTGGGTCCAATCCTGTCCCGTGTGATGGGACCTATCTACATCTTTGCTGCAACACATATTGTGGAAAGGCCCTGGACAAACACAAAGTCCCAGTCAGTGGCACAGGAGGTGCTGGCGTTGCTGGTTCAAGCTGTGGGTTGCGGGTCGGTGGCTGAATTCCTTCGAGGGAAGGATGAAGATGAGGAAGGAAGATTTGCAGCAGTGATGGGGCTCCTGAAACAGGAGTTGACCAAGTGAGTAGGAAGGGGAGGGTGGTGGTGGAGAGGGTGGCATGTTTGGCTGGTCTCTGTGTAGGAAATACTGAAAACTTTGCAGCCACTGCGTGAGCTCAGGCATTACAAGGCACTAGTTGATAAATATGGGGCCAAGAGCTATACAAATATGCCAGTAACAGAAGGGGGGGGGGACGACACATCATTTGGAGTTTACTGTCAGCTGACAGGCCCAAATGTGTAGGAAACAAGCATTTGTTGGTTCCAGTGTTCACTGAGCTCCCGTTTGTATTCCCAGAGACACCTGGAAGCGTAACCCTGCCACAAAGCACGTGTTCTCCTGGACGCTGCTTCACATCACCCGGCCCTGGCTTAGCCATTACCTGGAGCGTGTCCTCCCGCCGTCACTGCTCATCTCGGACGACTACCAGGAGGAGAATAAAATCCTGGGTGTGCACTGCCTGCATCATATCATTCTCAACGTGGTAAGAGATCCGAGAAATTAGATCCCTTTCTGGGTGTTGTTTGAAGGAAGGGGGGGATTGGACGCCTCTTAGGGTTCCTAGCTTCTATTCCTGGTTCTACTGTTAACCAAACAATTCTGCTCCATCTTCCACATTGTCCCTGTGTGTTTAAGTATACGTAGTTCTTAAATTTATTGTGATAAACAAGTAAGTGCTTTGGCCACCTTTTGAACTCGGCCGATTCAGTCAGCCTGGCAGCAGTTTGCAGGGCAGGATGTTCAAGTAACACCAGTGGAACTTCCAACTAGCGCCTGGAGAGGCGAGGGGAAGCGGCTGCTCCTGTGCACGGTGGGGTTTAACCTGCATTTATTACAGCACCTGCTCCCCTTTCCTCGCAAGCAGCGTCCCTAACACGCAGCATTGCCATGCTTTGTGGAGGCTGTTCTCTTTTGTTAGCTTAAGCGGGTGCTGAACGTGACGCACAGCACTAACGTTCTGTTCTGTGTCGTTGCAGCCAGCTGCTGATCTGTGCCAGTTCAACAGGGCTCAGGTTGTGTACCATGCCCTTTACAACCACCTCTATTCACGGGAGGCCCCTCTCATCCAGGTGGGACAGCAGAACTTCATTTTCATCTGCCTTGTGATCTTGCATGTCAGCCCCACGAGGGACAGCCAGCTCCAGGCTTGAGAGGCAGAACCTGTTTCCTCGCAGACAGTCCAGTTAGGCTGGTACTAGCCAATGCCTGTGGCCGAGAGACAAAGTAACTCAGTAGATTTCAGGAAAATATTAATAGAGGGAAGACCTCTCGCCTCCTGTCCCCTTCCAAGTGGCAGCCTTGCTGAAGAGGGCTGCTAACGGGTAGTAGAAATAGTTGGCTCTGTCAGGTGAACTGCAGCAGCTGTGGGTGGTCAGCAGGGCTGGAAGTTCTTTGGAGACAACATGAGCAGGATTGCCCAGATTTACCGTCTCTCGCCGCACCAGGCAGTACTGCTGTGCCTGCTGGACCTGCTGCCGATCCTGGAGAGAGCCCAGCGCCAGCAGAACCAGGGCAGACCGACCACCCCCTGCGATGAGGTGCTGCAGCTGGTTCTGACACACATGGAGGCAGAGCACCGCCTCGCGCTGCGGCGGGTGTACGCCAGAGCCCTGCCCGCCTTCGTGCAGAGGTGGGAGCACCCGCCGCGGCCCTGCAGGAACTCGCTTTGGCCTCACTGGGTTTATCTCCCTTCTCAGTGCGTGTTTCTTTATGTCAGCAGACTTGGCATCCTGATAGTGCGGCACCTGAAGAGGCTGGAGCGAGTTATCCTGGGCTACCTGGAAGTCTGTGATGGCCCCGAGGAAGAAGCCCGACTGGGAATACTGGAGACGCTGCAGTGCACCATAGAGCACGCTTGGCCCAGGTACCCATCAGGGGGTGAAAGACACTACTAAAGCCTATCCTGAATGCTGTCGCTGCTCCAGAGCCAACATCACTGTTGCTTGAGAAGGCCCTGAAATCTTAAGAGAGAATCTTTCACAGGGAGGGATCACTGGCATTACTGCTTTGCCGAAAAACCTGACCCAAAAATTAAGCTGGGTCCTCATTTAGATCTGATTTCTGCCTGTTCTAGAAGCACCAACTTCGTTAAAAATTAAACCTGCGTTCTCTGTGTGGCAGAACTGTGGAGTAAGGCCCCTGTTGTGAATGAATTAGGCTGCCCCAACGACAGGCCTTCCCGACAGAGCAGCCCGAGGTTACCCGTGCTCGGGGCCAGTGTCCTCCCTCTGGTGGGCAGACTGAAGGAGGCAGCTTCTCCTTATCTCAGGGCGGCCGCAATCCTGCTCCACACATAAATGGCAACGAGCAGCTCCTGCCTGAAGCGTCTCGCAGCTGCCAAGCGAGGCGGTGCTTTCCCCTGGCTTGTGAAGAGGATTTAGAGTGAGGTGCACTTGGTGTTTCCCTCTGCAGGATGCCGTGCAGGCTCCCTGTGCTCCTCAAGGCCCTGCTGAAGATGATCTGGGACGTACACACGGACCAAGGGCCAACGCCAGAGCTGGTGAAAGCAGCCTTGCTCCAGGGAGCCACCAAATGCCTCATCCTGCTGGATCGCTGCTCTGAGGGGCAGGTGAAGGTGAGCTGGGACCCAGCTGATCCCCCTCGGAAGGGGCAGCACGGTGCCTGCAAAAGCCCACTGGCTTCCTCAGTCCACATGTTTTGAAAGCATCAATTTCCACCCACCTCAACATTAGCACTTGACTTGATGGATAAATGACTTCTGTATGGGTAGGTGTCCATATATGCTTTGTGTAATTCTCTTTCAACAGATAGCTGGGGGAGGGCTGGTAACACCTTTAACCCACATGTGCCAAGGCACTGGAAAATGATGCTTTTCTCGTTTCAGGTCCTACTGGAAGGCGTGTACAGCAGCTGTGAGGAGACCCGTGTACGGGAGTGCATCAGAAAAGTGCAAGAAAACACGTGAGGCGTGGCCAATCAATGCTCACCCCGCTTTTTGTATAGTAAATTTTTTTTTTAATTTATTTAAAGTTACTGTCTTTCTCTTCCCACCCGTTAGCCTCGTATCTCCCCCAGACAAGACACACTTGTGTGCTTGCCTAGCCACCGGAGGGCTCTTCCAGCCTTTGAACAGCAGCGGTGCCCCGCCCTGGTCCAGGTTCCCTCCCAGAGCACAGTCCGAGCTGAGCCTTGTGTGGCTGGGGAGAAGGTGGGAGTCGCCTTCCTTCAAACTTCACTTCATGAAGGAGTTGTACAAACTTGCTGCAATTGCCTGGGGTCGGGACAGAAACCCTTTTTTTCATAAAAAAAATTTATTAATTAGAATATTGAAAAAAAGTCATTTTTGAGGGTCCTGCAGAGTGGTGAAAGCTGGAAGGAGTTCTGGTGGCAGGATCTGGAGTCCTGTCGTTCAGTACAAAATGTGGCTTCACGAAGGAGTCAGGTTGCTTTTGTTTTGGTGGTTGGCTCTGTTTCTTCCTCATACTCTATTTCAATGTAGGGACGTTTTCTTCTGGCTGGTCCTTTCAGGGGAGCTTTCCCTTTAGATCTGGAGAGAGAGGTTTTCTTCTCTACTTCTTCCTCCTCTTCCAGCTCCTCTTCACTACTTGTCTCCAACTTATCCATGTCCTGAGAAAGACAAGAGTGACGTCAAAGCATGCTATGTAGCTAAACCTCCTCTTTCTGCAGAATTCTCTTGTGTATCTGATTCTGTTTTATAATTCCTGGCTCCCAGCTGTCTAGCCAAAGGAGCTGGGGTGTGGGGGATTACGGTGCAGTCTGACTCTATCATTATGTCCCACAAATCTGATTTTGCTGGCTCTTCCCCCAGTCCCACAGACACCAAGAGAGTGGAGGTTACTTTCAAACAGCTTAGCCTGACAGTTTATACCTGGTGCTTCACCTACCTCAAAGTCGCTGAGGTCACTGTCATCTGCTTCCACAAACTCTCTTTTATCCATGTCCTGTAAGAAATAGAAGTCAGAAGCTAGTAGAGGCACCCTGAGCACAACACAGCATCCTGACTCACAACGGAAGAGCCACCAAGGCCACCACTGGCGCACACACACATGCCACACACTTTTCCTGAGCTCACCTCTCCTAACCTCCTCACTTCGACATTCAAACTACAGTGCCCAGCACGTCAGTGAATCAGAGGGGCTGTGCCAGGCCAGGGAAGGATGAAGTGCTACTGTGGCTGAAAGCATTACCTCATCATCTTCTTCTTCCTTCTCTGCATCGGACTCGCTCTCGCTTTCTGCATCTTGCTGTTGTAGAGCTTTGTCAAAGGCGTGAATGGGGAAGTTGTAAATGTCTCCATACTGGAAAGGAAAAGGTGGATTTTCTGTAAGTCACAGGAGGAAGACAGCCACTGGTGGTAGGGCTGTCTAAAGCCTGTGGCCTGCACAAAGGCAGCGCCAAACTAGGCTGAACTTGTGGCTCAGCCCCTTCCCTCGTTCTGAAGTGTGCGTTGCTGTACAGAAAATGAGGGGCTCTGCGTTCTGAGGGAGCAAGTTTTCCAGCCTGTGTTAAAGCCATCAGGAAGGGTAGAGTGTGGTCATCCCCCACCCCACCTACACAGGCCGTGCTTCTCTGTCATACCAGCGCCCGTGGCCCTCCCAGGAGAACCAGGACCAGTTTTCCTGCTGGGCTCTGAGCGCAGTGATCCTTACCGTATCCTGTTTCAGCCTTTCCAGTAACTCCTTCTCAATGGCATTATCCAGCTGAGCAGCAATCAGGGCTTTCTCCTAAAGGAGCAGAGGGGAGCCGTGTCAGTGGTTTGAAAGACAACGTGGAGCAGAAGCAGCGGCCAGGAGATTACGTGACAGCGTGGTATTACCTCTCGCCTCTTCTCTCGCCTTTCAATCTTCCTGCGTAATGGAACGAGCTTCCTCCTACAGGGAGCAAGGAGAGCTTGTTAGTGATTTGTCAGTCTCCTGTGTAGCAGATGAGCAAACGCTCACTCAGGGCAACAACCAGCAGTGATGAGAAACGTGACTGCCACTAGTTGAAGTGCATTTATACATGTAGACAATTAAATCCCTTTCGGACAGGTTCACTGACAAGCCTGCTAAAGCCTCGGGAGAACAGCTACGGGCACACTGGGGCTCTGCATACAGCCAGGGGCAGTGGCTTGATAAAGCCAAAGCATGACGACTCTCAGCTCTGTCACTCACTGTCGCTTGAGCGTCAGCTTCCGGATGCGGATGAGGTACTGTGTGATCTTTGTAAACCGCTGCTTGCATTTGTGTCGGATGAACCGCGGCCAGTAGATGAGGTTCTCATCTATCTCTTCCAGGGCTTTCTCATAGTTCTTGCTTAGCAGGACCTGGGGAAGGGGAAAAGGAAAGAGTTGAGCTACAGAGTGGGGCTGCAGCTGCTCTGGGGAAGAGCCCCCTCACTCCCTGCCCTCCACTGCCTCTGGGAAATTAATTATCGCTTGGTTGGCGAGCTGCCCTCCGGGACTCACCCGCTCCCAGAGCCGACGGGGAAAAGCCGCCTGCTCTATCGTCTTCATGTACAGGTAACACCGCCCTGAAGAAAAGAGGAACAGGAGCTCAGGAGAGAGCCACCAAGAGTGGGCGAGTGCTCGGAGCCGGGGTGCCCTCAGCCCGGCGCTCTTTGCCCCCTCCCCGCCCCGGGGGTGGCTCATGGCAGCTGCCGGGCTCTCACCTTTCTCCTCCCTGATGGTCGCGTACTGGCTGTTGGCCAGCGGGCAGGAGGAGCGGTTGCAGAGCCCTGTCAGGTTGTACTCATTGCGGCAAAAGTTCTGGGTTTTTGTCCTGGAAAAAGGAGAAGTGAGGGGAAGGGTGGGACTCCCCCCACCGCCCACCCTGCCCCTCGGGGCCGTGGTGGCACAGGGATGCGGGGAACCACGCCAGGCCCTGAGGGGCACCTGAATTTGTGCCTCCGGCTCCTCGCCCTGCTGAAACACCCCGCAGCGCCCCCTTCCCCATCCCCCCAAAAACTCACGTTATCTTGTAGGAGCAGAACTGCCTGTTGCCCAGCGTGTCCCAGACAACCTGCGAGGGGAAACAGCGGGTGACCCACACGGACAGCGCCCACCCGGCCCCTGCCGCCGCCGGTGAGGTCCTAACGGGACACGCACACCCACAGCACCTCTGCCGCCATGTC